CTAATCTAACTCGCTGTAACACAGTGAATATGTGTATTTCCCAAAATGCCAAACTACTACAACTAACTAAAATGAAATGATTTCCTGGAAGATGCTGTGGCATTTTTGACCATGAGGTTTTGATCTTGTGACCATAAATTATTCTCATGTGCCTTCCAAAGGGATCCCTTTTTAACAGACTACAGCACCAAACTCCTCCTCCTCCTCCTCAAACCTTCATTTGAAATAAAAAGGGGATGGCATTGCCTGGCATCTACACTGTGACTTTGTGTGTTTTATTCTGACCTTGAGAGGCCAACCATGTGAGAGAGGAACATTTGTGCAATAACTTGCTGACATCTGTGTGCCATCTGCCTCCAGTGCTTTAATGTCTGGGTGAAATGTCTGTGTTTTGTTTTTGTTTTCTTTGTGTTGGTATGTTTTAAGAAGGTTGTCAAGTGAACTGGTCCTGTCTTTCTTTGCTTTTACTAACAGTGGAATAGGTCGACTTTTCAAACTCAATGTTTTTTTAAAACACTCTACTGTCGCCTAAATAAGTACTGTATGGACAGCAAGAAAAAGGAGATAACAATGGTAAACTGCGACTCTGGAGTGTCCCCCCATCCTCCTTATCCTTTGAATGTCCTCTAGCTGTCCATCCCATCCAAGTAATCAGCATCCTTCAAAGACGCACAGCCAAAGCTAAAGCCAAGTCAAACAGAGAGCGTGTCGTAATCAGGGGCATGAAGAGCTGGGCTTATGGAGCCCTCCCCCCACTGCGGTGCCATTACTGGGCTGCTATGGGCTCAAGATTAGAGCCTCTTCCTGTGTTAGCCATTCAAATTCAGCATTAATGTTTGAAAGAGCAGAGAAAATGCCTGCTCTTCATGGATAAATTAATATTTTATGGGGGAGAAATGTGAAAACATCCCAAGTAATATCTGAGTTGGTTTGTCACTGGTGGTTCTGTGTGTTTAGACACTCATTCATATACATTCATATAGTGCTGTCAAAACATCGCAGCCTACCAAAGCAAGTCAAGCAGAATGAGATTTGGTTGTGTAATTTCTGACAAATTAGCATGTTGTGGATCAGCGTTACAGCTGCATTTTTGCTGTTTTACTTTTGAACAGAAATTGGTCTGTGAATGATCTTTTTTTTCATGTCTCCCGAAATAGTTCAGCCTCATAACAGAATATCTTCAGTATCAGGCAAAATACGGACACAGAGTTAGTTTGTAATGTTGAGAGACTAACCTATGTTTGTTTCAGGAATAGGAGCTGCTTGTTTCAGGGACAGTGCACTCACTGACTGCTTGCCTGCCTGTCAGTATGCACAGTAAATAGGTCAGTGTTTTATGCAAGTGAAGAATCAGTAATGCCTGGGCCTCCACGAATCTGCCATCTTTAGCCATCTGACCGCTAGGCAGAGCTGCAGCTGCAGTCAGGTGATTAGCCAAATAGCCACACAGCAGTTGAGGAGCAGTGTTATATTTGTAATATGTAAAATAATTACAAGTAATTAAAGTTAAATGTGGTGTATTTGTCAGCTGTTGGCACAGATTCTGGTCGCACCCTGATAGAGAAATAACTATAGCCAGACACACCGAAGACTTTTTCAGCTGCATAATTGATCCACACCGCTCTCCAACGGAAGTTGTTTACTGAAATTTGAGTACTAATGAAGCAAAAGCAATTGGCGACCTGTCCAGGGTGTACCCCGCCTTTCGCCTGATGTCAGCTGGGATTAGCTCCAGCCCCCCGCGACCCTGTATGCAGGATAAGCGGCTGACGATGGATGGATGGATAGATGGATGAAGCAAAAGCGTACAGTATGATTTACCTACTCAAGAAAATATCTTTTTTTTAAAATTATTATTATTAAAAAACCTCCTGTCATCATTATTTGCTATAGCAGCTATTGATTTTTTCCCTCTGTATTTGTTGATCAGATAGTGGCCTGATTGAAGAGATCCCAATTGCTGTTGGCAGTTCTTGCTTGTGCCATATGCATGTTAGTGAATCCACGTCTATGCATGATTATAAAAGCTCTATGACATGCTGAAGCTGGCATATTCACAAGATCATGTTTATGGGTTAATGGAGGTATCAGTCACAGGTCCATTAGTACCAAGGAGGCACAACCACTTGTGCTGTATGTGTCTTTGTAATGTAAAACAACTCTGGACAAGGTGGATATATGTAAGGGATTTTACACAACATTGTGTAAGATTTGAATGCTATTTGATGAAGTTGAAAAGCTGAAACAGTTACAGTAAGAATTCTTTTTGTTAAAGATGCTGCAAAGTTGACATTGTTTTAAAGCTATGATATGATGCGAGTAGCCATCCAGCCTGTGAACTAGCTTGTCTAAGTGACAAAACTAATAAAGGTTTCATTGGTTCTATGTGTTTGGTTGATCTACCTATGACCCTAATTAAATTCAGACTAACTCTGTCAAGCGGCACATACTGTAAGGATTCCATGACATATTGTCTGCTATTGTCTTGGCAAATTTCGGTTGCTTTTTTCCTCTCTTGGTAGCCATGTAGTCAGCAACTCCCTGTTGCTTTAGCAGGTCAACATTGTGACATTCCTTTGTAAACAGCAGTTTTATCGGGTTTTGTTGTTAGTGCCACGCCTAACCTCCTATCTAAGAGAACCTGTTTGCTGCTGCTGTTTGGACTCTCTCCTGGAACTCACCCTGCATGGTAGAAACTGCCAGCAGAGACACCCCCACCGCCAGTATATCTTATAAGATCCTGGAAACACACCAGGAAAATAATTATAAAAATGTACTAGTGAGGCTACATTAAGAACATGAAGTGCTTCACTGTAGCTGCCTGGTTATTCAAAAATAGTGGGTGCCCTCCAGCTTAGCTGAATCAACCTGTAACTTTTATTTGTGTAGTTAACCAGCCTGTCAGGAGTGACCTGTTTTGGGAAGAGGGGAAATTCAGCGGTTTCTTATGCATACTATTGATGTAATCTGAAAAATAGGCGCAGTGTTTTCTTATCATTACTGTTATCATGTTCCACACCTTACTGTTGATGCCACCCTCTCGCTTGTGTCATTTGTTGCATCTCCAGTAAGGGCTGCTGTCTACCAAATCGTTTCCTGCTGTAATTGCAGAACAGTGTGAAAGGATCACAGTGCAGTTTCTGTGTTACATTCTCTTGCCATGTGAAACTAAATTCTTCTTATTTTCATCACATCTCCACCAAAGGGGAACAAAAAACAGCACTGTCCAGTTTATTAAGAAACATCAAGATTGTGTTTGTAGTTTTTTATCATAGACAAAGGTTTGATCTTTAAGGTTTGATGTTTTCACATAATAATAGAATAATAATAATAAGTACTGATAAATATTTTGTAATCTGTTTTTTATGAATAAAACATTAAAATCAGCCATGAACACATGAATGCAAATTGGTAAATGTTATCCAAAGGAAAAAAAATGTTAGACTAGATGAGAAAACCTTTCCACTGTTATGGAGGTGAGACTGATATACGCTGTCTTAATCAAGTTAAGTGTGTACATAAACCTGTATTATCCAGTAGGCAGTGAAGAAATTAGGTGAATCTATGTTAAATTGCTCTGACAACTTGTATCAAGGCAGATGACTGTAATTAAATACCCATCAGTTAATAAATAATTATGCTGCTTTGTTTTAGGGTGCGCTAATCTGTTTTTGTCAGACATAAATAAATCAAAATCTTCATAACAGTCAAAGAGTCACTGAAGAGTTGCAAAAGACAGTGAACAGTTTTTCTTCTTTTTCAAGATCTTGGGCAGCAGCAGGGAAAGTAAAGAGGTCTTGTTTAATAACGATGTTACTGTATACATATCTGGTTAAATCATGACTTATTAACATATATGCAAAATTTTTCCACTTTATTCAAAACCAGTTCTTTTGGGAAGTTAACAATAGGGTGTAACTAACTGCATTTAGTTGTGCAGGAGATGGTTACATAAAATTGTAAAGGCCACTGTGAAGGCACATGTGTAATTTGTCAGAGACAGTGAGTGCTGTGTAAGAGCCTAGTTGTAGGTCTACACTAAGGGGGCAGCCTGAATGGTACGCTTTCTGGGACGGTTGTGCTGCACATCACATGATGGGCTTGGCCTCAGGGTGAGGCAGTGAAGGAGTTTAAGACGGTGGTGGGAAGTAGGTAGATGGAAGATGAGTTGATGAGTGATGGGAAGATTTACTCTTGCCAGTTTCTCTTAGAATCAACTCCCGGTTACCATTTTCACAGCTGAACACACCCACTGGACATCAGACTCCACCTCGGGTCCAAACGGCCTCCATTCAAATAGCAAGACGAATCATGATTTTAGAATTTTTTTTACATCACAATTTCAGGATCTGTGTCTTCTAAATAATAAATTATATATAAATCTTCTCTGCAAGGTATCAGATGTGTCGGCAGAGAATTGTAAATATACACGATTTCATGAGAATCTTTCAAACCTGCAGCCTTAACATAATTCCTTATGTTACAATGCGAAAAATAGGCCAAAAAGCCAAAGTCACTGGTCCCAATTTTTCAAATGTGAATTTTAGCTCTTGTTCTCTGTATTATATTAGATTAGATTTAATATCTTCAGAATTTGGGCTGTTAGCTGGGCAAAAGAAGGGATCTGAAAACATTATATCGAGCTATGGGTAATTCGATGGGCAGTTTCACATTATTTTCTGACATCTTATAGTTATAGAATATGAGTTTCACCAAAGAGAGGAAACTGTGTGATATATGTACTCTGGTGCAAACAGCATCCAACAACCTGTCTCTATAACACATTAAAAAGTCAAGCAAAACAAATTTGTATTTTTCAAGGTAGTGTCTAGATATAATTGAATTTTGTACACTTACTGAGGAGTACAAATTAAATATCAAGGTTGTTATTTTTGGTGCAAGCAGAGAGATTTTGAAACCTTCCTCAGTGAGTCCCTACTGGTCTATAGTCAGACTTTTTAACTTATGAACTTTTCTGTATTTCTCTCTCTCCCTCATAGGACATTGTGAGTGCTAAAGATGTCTGATAGTGTTGATATTGAAGAGAAACCACCAGCCCCCCCCTTGAGAATGAACAGTAGTTCCCGAGACTCTTCATCATTGAATCACGCCTCTAAACCGCTTCCAATGGCTCCTGAAGAGAAAAACAAGAAAGTCCGCCTGCGCTCCATCTTCCCCGGGGGAGACAAGAGTGAGTATTCCTCTCCACGTCACCCTGGAGCTCAGCCCCACATTGTTGCATGTAATATACTAGTTTCCTGTGTATAAAAATACAAGAAGTCAGCCTGTAATTAGTTTTTTTATTCATCTCCTGTAGCAAACAAGAAGAAGGAGAAGGAACGTCCTGAGATATCCCTACCTTCAGACTTTGAACACACCATTCATGTTGGCTTTGATGCTGTAACAGGAGAATTCACAGTGAGTATCTATTTCACCTGACAACCAGGCATATAAACAGGGACTGATGTGCTTCTTAAATCCCATCTGAAAGCAGAGTCTCAGGCATGCATTTCTAAAGTCACAATTCTCTGAAGTGAGTCAATTAATGATATGTTTTCCTCCACATAAAGGTGGTAACACAAGTGACTTGAATGACAATGACTCTATCTCCAGGTCAAGTGAAACCTGCTCTGGAATCCTTGAGCGTTTCCTCGTAAATTACATTTCAGCTGCGGTTTCAGTTTACCGTTTATTCTTACACAAGCCTAGATATATAATAGGCTACCATTTGTGTTTGACATGATCTAGTGAGTGGTTTAATACAGTAGCCCTAAAATAAATCTCATAAAGCTTTTAATGTTCAGCTCTCTCGTCATGGTTTCACTAGTGTTGTAGTCAAGACTGCCCAAACCGAGACCAAGTTAAGACCAAGACCAGAGTTTATCGAGACTTTTAGGGGCTGAGACCAGGTTGAGACCAAGACAGAGGGAGCGCGAGACCGAGTCGAGACCAAGACCAGTTCCCCACATTACATGACACACAATAAAATGTGGAATGAGATCATAGGTACTTCTCAAATCTGATCTGAAAGATCCACATTCTCATTAAAACACCCACAGAAAACACTAAGAGCTGAAATCAACGTAAGCATCTTTATTCGACACTATCATTGCGGGGAGTGGTGACAGTCATTAACGGTAACAACACATTATTAATTAGGGTTATTGGTTACATTTAAAGCAATATGTTTTACATCCAGTCAAAGTTAGGTTGTTAACAAATAAATCAGACAATGCAAAAGTAATTTGTTTATATTCCCAAAGTTATGGTCTTGACTGGTCTTGAAATAAAATCCCCAGTCCCCAGTGTCCGAGACTGAGACAAGACAGAGTACAAATGCGGTTGAGTCCGAGACAAGACCAAGACCATCAAAAAGTGGTCATAAGACTGGTCTCAAGACCAAGACCGGTCTCGAGTACAACACTAGGTTTCACACTACCAGGACTAATCTATAAAACACATTTCCTGTCTATTCATTTTTGATTAGACCTTTTTCCCCCCAAATAAAATAATGGATGAGCAATCCAAGCGTTTTCATCATTCCCCTTTAAAACCTGTTTACACTCAGGGATACAGGTGTTTTGGTCTACTTGATTTCCAGATGTACAGCACTCAGTCAATGACTTGTAGCTGTGTAAGCTGTGTGCCTGTGACACATAGAGCCCCATTAAGAGAATTTTAAACCCAGCTAACCAACTACCTCATTTTCTGAGCTCTTAACACCACTGCTTCCACACAGCAGATTGAGTATTGCTTAAAGTATAAAAAAATGCAGAAGTTTACAAAATTGGCATGAATTAAACATTGTTAAGCTCCCTTGAAAGACTTAATGTCCATCAACAGGGAGTAAAACATGCAAAACACTGGCTAAAAAAGTGTGGAGATGCCTTAATAATAATAATAATATTTTGGAAAATACATTTACTTATTTGCTGAGAGTTAGATGAGAAGCTTGATACTACTCTCATATATATCTGTTAAATATAAAGATACAGCCAGCAGCCAGTTAGCTTAGCTTAGCATAAAAACTAGAACCATGGAGAAAAAAATAGCATGGCTCCATGTAAAGGTAAAAAATCTGCCTGGCAGCACTACTAAAGCAAATTAATATGTGATTTGTCTAACCTATACAGAACCTGAAAACAGCAAGTAAAGGTTATGCTAGCTGTTTCCCACTCTTATTAGTCTATGTTAAGCTGAAGAGAAGTTACATTACAGTTACATTTTTTACAGTTTAACATCTGACCTCTGTCTCTATTTGTGCAGGGTATCCCAGAGCAGTGGGCACGGCTCCTACAGACCTCGAACATCACCAAGCTGGAGCAGAAGAAGAACCCACAAGCTGTGTTGGATGTTTTAAAGTTCTACGACTCCAAAGAGACTGTAAACAACCAGAAATACATGAGCTTCACCTCGGGAGGTAAGCAACACCAAAGTTCTGATAAAATAAAATAAAAACCACCAATATATAAACACATTTGTTCTTATGTCTAATTCAAACGAGTGTGTTTCAGTGTATAAAAACTTAAATGTTCCTTTCTGTTTCAGACAAGTCAGCACATGGGTACATAGCAGCAAACACTCTGGTGAGTTCTTTCATATCTAAACTTTCTTTGCTTAATGTTGGTTATTTTCTGAGCCTAAATAATTTGATGAATATTAGGAGAATATTTGTTAACAGAACACACCATAAAATGATAATTTGACAAAGTACATGTCAGTTAATAATACCTAACCACTATTTGGTGCTCAATTATAAATGAATTATGATGTTGCCGCTATTAAAACATGCCCCTTTTTGTTGGAGGTTGCGCCGCTGTCTGATTTATCAGGAATTTTAGTACTGCGCTGCATATCTTGCACTGTCTCTGCCATGTTTCATTGCTTTGGAAAATCTCTTAAATATATGAAGGGAAATATATTTCTTCATGATTTATATACATGCAACAGTGTAATAATTTAAGAGGTAAGTTGCAACATTATGTGGCTTTATTTCATTGTCTTGAACCTCAGAGCAATTATGCCTCTCCATCTACACTGCAGTAAATCTTTCTCACTTTACTCTCACTAACTCTGTCTGGGAATTTCTGGGATAGACTGTGTTACTTTCCAGCACATTCGCTTCACACAGACTGCTGCCTCTAATGGGCAAAATGTGTGCGTTCTCCCCCCCTAGAGGCTTAATGCCCTCACTTTGTGGCATAATGCCCTGAATTCTGCATACATGCCAATCAGTTTGCAGCTCCTGCACAGAAACTGTGACTGCTGGGAGAGCTACTGCTGCACATTGTTTATTTTTCCAATCTACAGTACCAGATTTTGAAATACCCATAGACAAGCTTCACTGGAGGCTCAACTGCATCTAGAGGGACTCCCGCTGTGCTGACCTCATTCCTGGCTTTGACCAGAGTAATCTACGCTTTGAATGCCTTGGCCTGTACACGCTCAGCCGGGTGAAGAAGTGGAATCCAAGTCTGTTCAGTGGGATTCGCTGCCCCAGGCAAACTACAATGGGATCACTTAATGTAGCTATTGCTTGAAAGAGCTCTTTGCCAGTGAAGGGCAAGCGGGTATGGCACTGTGTCTAAAAGGTTGAGCGAGCCCAGTGAGGGTATTTGAGAGCATCTCAGCCTTGGACTGTCACAGTGGTCCACGGCCTGCAGAGGTGACTCAGCTATTGGCTACAGTGCGACAGATTTCACTTTGGGATTGGGCTGCACTGTCTCAGGCAAACAGAATACAGGAGATGTGCCAATATTTGGTCTGTAGAAGCAAACTGTCTCTTTTCTGAGAGAAAGAGTAACTCATCATGAGCTACCTGATGCTCCCTGTCAGATTATTTTGAACACCAACTTTTATATATATATTTGACAACTGGTATGTAATTTTCCTTAAGCAACTTGCTTTCTCTTCTCATCACTTGCTACAGTCCGTGTCTATCCTGCTGTTTTCTTGTCTTGTCATTAAGGATTAAAGAAGAAATCGAACTGTTTAGTGATCATGTTCAATGAAAGAAAAGAGATTACTATCCACTGATCGTATTGTAAGATCTCTGGTTTTTATTTAACCTCTCTGAGCATCTTTGAGCCAGCCGTTCATGTTTGAGGTCGACTGTGGATAGTGGCGCTGGGGACACTGTGTTGCATCCTAATCCAACCTTTGATCAGACCAGAAAGTCATAATTGAATTTTAGATTCTATGACCTTGGTAAGAAAACCTAAACTTTGCTTCCTGTGTCCACTCAACCGGGCTAAATATTGCTCACACTGTCCGCTTCTAGCAGACAATAGATTCCCCTAAGAAATGTTTTGGCAGGAAAAAAACACTTACAGAAAAGAAGATGCAACGAAAAACGTCCGAGTAGCAAAGCAGTCTTTAGATACCCTGGCAGTGTTTCAGGTTACATTTTGTTGCTGCTTTAAGTGATTAACAACTTGGTCTTGGTTTTTCTATCCTGGTGTAACATGTGAGGAGTTTCCCCTGTGTGGCCATCAGTTAAGTCATATCCTTGACCATTTCCTTGAGCAGTGTGTTGCTTGAGTGACTGACCGCAGGACTCATCTGTCAAAAATACAGACAACTCGACCGCTCTTCATATAACTACGTTAACAGCATTAACAGTGCGTTTATCAGAGAGTGTGAGCTTTACCTCACATCGCTCTTGACATTTCATCTCTTGTGTGTTGCTGACATTACTGTTCAACTTTCTAAAAAATCCAGCATGTTAGGTGCACAGAAGAGACAAATATTTCATGCCGAGTGTGCCAATACATGGCATCCTGCCTGTTATGTACTTTAGTACACAGAGGAGCACCCAAATAATATGTATCTGTGACAACTTAATAATGTTGGAATTATCAAGTCAGTGTTAATGTTTATATACTGTAGCAGCTCAGTATGATTTGTTAGATCAGGTTTGTGTTAGTTCAGTCAGGCCTAAAAGCCCCATGGCTCTGTTAGTGTTAGTCTTAAAACAGTGCGTGAGTAATTTTCATGCTTTAAGGTAAAAAGCTTCCAAAATGCATCAGTTTAATCCCCATCCCCCAGTTTAATCTAGAAAATACATTGGAAATTAGAAGACAACAACTGCAAGGACATGACGCTACAACTCAAGAAAAGTTGTCTGTAGTGCTGTAATGTTTATTCATTACATGGTCATAATTTTGATTTGAATGGAAACTGTTTAATAGTATAATAGAAAACAACAGTTACTCATTCAGATTAATGAGAGCAGCCAGTTCATTTTCATCACAGCACTGTAGAGTCTGTCTGTGGCCCTTGTCTTTTATCAACAGTGAAACTATTTTCCTGTGGAATGCTGCACTCTTAATGTTTACCTTGATGTCAAATCGAACACCTCAACATTGGTTTCATTAACAATGCTTTTCTGCCAGCTAAGGCAAGGTGACACTGGAAACTGTCAATGTCTAACTGAGTGATGTCAGGTTTCTAAGACAACCACTAGCCAAAAGGTGCTTCACAAAGCAACACAAAGAAATACAGGGCTGAAAGAGAGCTAATCCTACATTTTAACATGCCTGTCTGTATATGGGTGTATACGATGACAGTGCTGGGCAATAACTGAGATTGTCTAATGGATTGCACCTTTAACAAGTTATCAGGAAATTTGTAATCAGGCATGAGAACATTATGGGTGGAAGTGGCGATTAAAATAACATTGAACACAAGAAATCTGAAGAGAAACATCACAAAGTGGAGAGAAAAAAATGTTCAAGGCTTGGGCAAGGACAGCCCTCAGGTGGCATGATTTGTCTCTATCATGCTGGGTGTTAAATAAGGAGGACAATTTATGGACCTAATGTCCATCCCTCAGTACCGTACCCCTGCCCTCCCCCCCTCCCCTGAAGTCCCCTAACTCTTAAACATTGTGTGGGTTTCTTTTGAGTAAATCCTCCCATTTTCAACCTTCACATTCAGAACCGACTGCTGTCATCTGGGCCTCCTGTCAGCCTTAGAACCTGCAGCGCATTATTTGACAAGGTAACTCCTCCATATTACTTTCCACATGATGTATCTCTGCATTGGCTTTAAAGCAAAATTTGATCTACTAACTTTGATTATTCCGACTGGCTAATGCAAAATGCGTACAAATATTTAGAGGCATCATTCCTCTTTGTACTGAAATTTCAGGGGGGTATGATTGAATCTATTCGTTTTTGATGTTACAGATGTATTTATTATCTTCCACAAGAGCACCTCTTCTCATCTTGTTTCAAATGGACCGTCTCTGAAATGGCAGGGCAGGGGCGCATGCCACAGAGGGTTGTGATGACTATCAAACTGCATGTATGAGCTCACATCCCTTACAATTTGATCCACGTTGCCAAAAATGTGCCTGTAACTTCATCACCATTGTAGACATTACCGCATGGCTCTGGAAAACAAAAAAACACATGGCACTGCTTACAGTTAGCTAGACACTCATTTCTGCACTGCAGTCTTGGCCCAGTCTTCCTTGGAACAGATCACAGGCCCAGTATGTCTGAATGAAGGACTGGGACTTTCCTTCAGTCGGCCTCTTTCCCTCTAATCACTAGAGCTAAGCTGCACTGCTTCATTTATGCATGACGAGACTGGAAATGGATGACATGTTTCCATTCCAAAAGAGGAAGATGATCCAAGGCCACCCGAGTTTTGGATGGTGGGGGGGAATAAAAGCTGAGCATTAGGCATAATACATTTGCCTGAGACTCTTTAATCATACTTGTTAAAAGGTATCTTTCATATCAAGACGACGTCCGTCTACATTGCACATTACTGCAATGTGGCAGCATGTTTCCTACAGCACAGTAAAATATATAACTGTTTGTTACTTAAAAACACTGAACTGCACTGAATAGCATCTCACTCTTTTAACACTTGTCTCTTTAGCTCTCACTGGACTCATAATATTTCCCTCTATTATTAACACGCTGCTCCAGACAATTTAACCCCATTCATTTCTGGTTGTATCTTCAGATGTATCCCAACAGATTAACTGTATTTGTATGTTGATTACTTGTGCTCTTTTTTGTCACCTAACATGTTTGATGAACTGACCTGAATCTGCTATTGATACAATTTGAAAATTATATTATGTTAGACAAAGCTCTTTTGAAACTCAACTGGCCAGACCTCAAACTGTATATATGGCTGGCTGGTTTGGAGTTTGCTGGGTGTTTACTGTGGCAAGAAAACAACAATTCTGTTCAATTCTTGAAACGTTTTAAAGATCTGCATATACCCTTTTCATCCCATGCTGCTACATGGCACATGCATCCAGACTCACTTAAATCTCTACACCCCAGGGTGCCAAAACGTCATCGTCAGAGCCCCCAATCGCTCCACCTGTGTCAGAAGAGGAGGATGAGGAAGAAGAGGAAGAGGAGGAAGAGGAGGAGGAGGAGGAGGATGACGACGAACTGCCACCGGTCATTGCACCTCGGCCCGAGCATACCAAATCTGTGAGTTTATACAGCACGATTGGTGAAATCAAATGCAAATGCAATCCCCTCTGCATTTCTTTGACTTGCTTCTCCTCACAGATCTACACACGCTCTGTCATGGACCCAAAGCCTCCCACCCCTGTGAAAGAAGTGTTGACTCCACCAGAGTCACAGGTTCAGCCGGAGGACACGTCCAACACAATGTATCGCCACACTGACCGCCAGAGGAAGAAGTCCAAAATGACAGACGAGGAGATTCTGGAGAGACTCAGTATGTTTCTTTAGAGCTGGGCAGAGTTTTAGAAATACAGATTGTCCCCAGACATTTTTCACTACCAAACCACTAAAACATTTTTTTTCACTGTTTAATTTGTAAAGAATTGTAAAAGCCTTCTCCACACTGCCAGCAACCATTTAGGTGGATGAATCTTTAATCACTTGATTTTTCATCTTTATTTGCCTAAAAACAATTAAATTTTAAAGATACTAGAAAATATCATAATTATCCAATAACTAAAATGGGTGTCGATATGTGTGGCTTGAATAATTCACTGTATGATGATTGAATAGACATGCTGGTTATTTGGTTTTCAGTAGCTGTTTTCTATAAATTACTTGAAGTGCATCAATTCTGTGTGTTTGGAAGAATTATGCAAAAGAACAGGGGGCACTAATGTAAAAACATTTGAACAAAGTACTTGTTGTTTGTGACCTTCCTTGAACCGCTCCAAATTACCAGCATGCACCGTGAGGTAGAGATGTACTTAAAGTAGCTGCAGCACAAGGCAGGGTCTGTCTGAAAAAGAAAGGCAGAAAAGGTTCTGCAGTAATGTTTACTGTGTACTTGTCTGAAGGCCGTCATGGCTTTGTGCACCAGCACAAGCTCAATTATTATATATGTTTTCTCTCTGACTCAGGGAGTATTGTGAGCGTGGGGGATCCCAAAAAGAAGTACACACGCTTTGAGAAAATAGGACAAGGGTAAGTCCATTTGTGATCATAAACCAAGTCGTCAGAGTTATTGAAATAGAGCAATTTCAGGAGCAGTCAGTCTTGCCTGGAGAGATGGAGCTGTAGTGACCGCTATAGTGAGGCAGAGGCAGAGGGAGGGTTAGGTTGAATGACTGGGAGAAAAGTAAGTAGAGAGGAAATGAGAACTGTATCCTGAAATGGCCGTGAGCCAGATTAACTCAGCCATCTCTCTCTCTCTCTCTCTCTCTCTCTCTCTCTCTCTCTGCTTGTCTTTCTGCTGCTTTTCTGTCACTCTCCCTGTTCACTATACGTCTGCACAGATAAAAAAAAATCTGTGTGGTTGTTATCTGCTCATGCTCACGATTTCCATATTTGATCAGGAAGCTCCCTGTCTTAAACAATAGATAACTGTCTATTTACTCCCTGAGTTATCTTTAACTTATTATTCATAGCTGACAGAACACAGGTGTAGCTGACAGCGAGAGAAAGAGAGAATGAGGAAAAGACCAGAAGCTTGAATTCACAGCTGAAGGTTTTTAGTATCATGCTTTACACATCCAAATAAGGACAGAATGGCTGCATACCATTCCTTTGACAAACTATTGGAAGCCATACATTTCTTGTGCATCCTGTGTTTGTGTTCATCACTGCTAAGGTAATTTAATTGCAGTCACGTTTCTGTGGTAAAATTATAGCACATATAGTTTGTTTATGAAGAACCAAAAAATAACTTGCCTCTGGCATCAGCATGCTGACTGTTTTACAATGTGGGTTGCACTATGGTCGTCCACTAAATTCACGCCAGCGATATTTTAATATCAAAGGAATGAAGCTGTGTAGCCGTGCCAATTTGCTAACTCTTCCACTCAATCTAACTATATCCCTACATCCCAGCAGAGTTCAGTTTTCTCGTTAAGTTAAGTCAGGTTATAATACGCCAGTGTGTCTATAGTCTGACTGTTAACTGTCTGAGAAACAATTTATACTGTTTCTGTAGTGGCAGCACAAAATGACGACTTCTCTGAAGTATTTGATATAAGTCTCTTGAAACTTGTCAATAAACCTTCAGAGCTACCTTCACTGTATAGACAATATAGTAATAATCAATAATAACAGTTTTCAGTTATTATAGTTATAGGATTATATCAGTTAATTTTGGTCCAAACAAAGCCATTGAAATGTGAATTCTTTGGATTTTAGGCAAAACGACATTTTTCTAAGATTATCAGTGTCTATGACTGGTTTTAAAACACTTAAATGGTGTAACATTAATGTGATTTTGATCTTGGGTTTCACCAGAGCGTCTGGCACTGTGTACACTGCCATCGACATAGCAACCGGCCAAGAGGTAAGTCAGATTCTAATTATACAACATTCGCATTCGAGTATTATTTATTTTTTCCTTACTAGGCCATCAGGCTTATGATCTTGCGCTGAGCCACAAATTCCTTGTCTGTTTTCTCAGGTGGCCATCAAGCAGATGAACCTACAGCAGCAGCCCAAGAAAGAGCTCATCATCAATGAGATCTTGGTGATGAGGGAAAACAAAAACTCCAATATAGTCAACTACCTGGACAGGTCAGTTTTCACATGCAGGGTCACATTTCACTTTGCCTATTTATGGTCATTTTTATGAAGAGACAGGTATGTAATAACAGTTATTATGGCTTTTGTAACAAATGTAAGATTATTTTAGCATTTAATGTTATATGATTGAAGGTTCTAACACAAATGAACTCACGCAGGAGTATGAATGCACCTGATGTTAATTTGCCAACAGCTACTGATTTGTGGTCAGAACTAGGACAAAGTCAATGCATGTTGTTACCATAGTGACATTGAGGGATTTCCTGAGCCTGCTTTTCAGATCCCTGTTCTTCTTCATCTTTTTCTTCGTCCTCCTTTTGCCTTTTAATGGTGGCCAGCATTCAACTTAGGGTGCATTACTGCCACCTACTGTTTTAAAATGTAGAGAAGGGCTTTGTGCTATGTGTTTACAGCCGGCAGTCACATGCTTGAACGCCTAATGTGTGCTGTAATTGACTCTGCATCGTGACGCACACGGTACACCTTAAACTGTAAAGTTCCTTCTCCATGCGTGTAAACCAGCATGCCTTAATTATTGATTTATCAAAGCAACAACTGAAACCCCCAGTATGAAATGCATGTCACACTTTGCATTTTTCTTTTCCTTTCTCGTTTTATTTAGTTACTTGGTAGGAGATGAGCTATGGGTGGTGATGGAGTATTTGGCCGGTGGCTCGTTGACAGATGTAGTGACTGAGACCTGCATGGACGAGGGCCAGATCGCTGCAGTTTGCAGAGAGGTAAGGAGCCAAGTTTAGACATCAGCAATACCACACACTACTTATGTAGCCATGATGATCTAACCTTTACATTCAGGTGGGCATGTGCTTACATTTAAACAAAAAGTTTTAATTCATCACCCAGTCAAGAGGAGAAGACTGTCCAAATGTGTGTGTAGTACAGGCTTCTCTTTGTATGCGAGAGTGTCAGATATATTTTTAGCTTTTTTCCCTCTCTTCAGTGTCTTCAAGCCCTGGACTTCCTACACTCTAACCAGGTGATCCATAGAGATATAAAAAGTGACAACATCCTCTTGGGTATGGATGGATCCGTCAAGCTCAGTAAGTCTTTACTTCTTTGTTCAAAAATTAGAATTAGTAGATTAGTATTAAAAAATTAGTAGAATTAAAGGAAAAAGCACTGCTTCTGAGAGAGAAGTGTTTGAAATTCAGGTTAAGAGAGATGGTAGTGTGTTAAAAGAAACACCACTTAAATTAAATATGGGTGAACGAATAGTAACAACGCAATGCTGTATGTGATGAGAATGCAAACACACCACTGCACCTCTCCTTCTGTCTCCCTCTGCAGCCGACTTTGGCTTCTGTGCCCAGATCACTCCAGAGCAGAACAAGCGCAGCACGATGGTGGGAACGCCCTACTGGATGGCACCAGAGGTGGTGACTCGGAAGGCTTATGGCCCAAAAGTGGATATCTGGTCTCTGGGAATCATGGCGATAGAGATGGTGGAGGGAGAACCGCCCTACCTGAATGAGAATCCACTCAGGGTAAGACATGAAGTGGAGCCTCAACACAGGACTCATGATGTTAGCTTTCTACTGGTCATACAGTATGCATGTATGTATTCTTTTTCTGTGGTTGCCTCATTTGCTGATCTGTTTGACCTCTTCCGTCATTCAGGCGCTGTACCTGATAGCTACCAACGGCACTCCAGAATTGCAGAACCCAGAGAGGCTGTCATCTGTGTTCAGAGACTTCCTTAACCGCTGTCTGGAGATGGATGTGGACCGCAGAGGCTCTGCCAAGGAGCTGCTCCAGGTAAAGAGACTTGATCCTGAATAAACATACATGTATTTAATATCTTGTACATCTAAAGGTAAAAATATGTTGCAACCATAAGAGTGATGTAGTGTCAACCAGGCAGTATTATAACTTAAGACTAAATGGAGAACTGAAGGAAGTGAACAAATACTTTAGTTAGATGTTGGTTTGCAGAAAGATGTCAGAGAAAGGAGGGTTGACTGCACACTCGTAGTTCTGATGCCATCTTATTTCTTTATTTTTGGAGGGGGATCAAAGTACAGAGTGTGGTATTCAAAGTAGAATTTTTCAGGACCATCTTGCAGAAGCCAAATGTCCATAAAACCAAAAACCTTATCCTACAACAATTTATCATAATGTTAATAATTTAATTGTGTTTAAATACACAGTAATTGTTGAAAAATGCTGTAATTGCTGGTTAATAATAATAAATTAACAGGGTGCTCATCAAGGTCTCCCAGCACTGTCTCCTGCTCTCTTCATGTTCTGCAGATGTCTCCAAATCATCACTAAATGTCAATAATAATTCATATTTCTAAATGTGCATACGTCTTTCATTGGCTTCATATCTGTATGTTTTTATGCTTTGTGTCCTCTGCAGCATTCCTTCCTCAAGCTGGCGAAGCCTCTATCCAGCCTGACGCCTCTGATTGTAGCTGCAAAGGAAGCCATAAAGAACAGCAGTCGCTAGGGTGTGTGCCCTCTGTCCCCACCCGAGGCTGGAGCCCTGCCTGTAATGTGTGCATTCATCGGGGCAGGGGCTTGGGTGTATGGGTGGTGGGTGACATGACAGCACAAGGAGGGGGCTTGTGTGACTTAAGGTGACAGCACAAGGACAAAAGACCCCGAGGCCTCATATGTAGGACGGACATCTGGCCTTGCAGCCTCTCGGCCCATGCTGCTGAAAAGACCTTGCCTCCTCGTTTACTTCTCCAGCACTCTGTACATGTAGAGCAATCCATCACAAGTATGTGTGCGTGTGTGGGCGTGTGCGTGCGTATGATGTGTACCAACTGTGTCATATGTCTCATTTGGCAGCGGTCGCTCCCCAAACCAAGAAAATATGGTAAAAACAAAACAAAAAGAAAACGTGCTCTCTTTCAAGAAGAAACATCAGGAGTGAAGAGGAGAAAGAGCCTGTGATTCCTTCCCTGCCCAGCTTTAGGCTTGGATTTCTTTCCTCTAGTCCCTACATGGAGCACAATCAGGCCACGCTTGCACCTGCAGTGACCAGCAGATGATGGTGGGAGAGTGACTCTGGGACTCTGGACCCAACCTTTGCCTGCATGACTATGGCTCTGTGGAGAAACATTGCTATTCCTCCGCAGATTGTCACATCTCAAGGTGGCGTGTTTTTGTGCATGTGTGTGTGTGTGTGTGTGTGTGTGTGTGTGTGTGTAGGGGTGCAGCTACAGGGGGAAAAGTCAGGTATAATTTCACATGACCTATGCCAACTTTAAATATCCGTCATTAATCCGCTTCATATCGGTGAAAAGATACCGGTTTTGTATTTCATTTGAGCCAACTTCTCTCAGTCTCTGCCATGGAGTCACTGGGTTCAGGTTATCTGCGATTAATTTGCTGATTTGACTCTAAAACTGATGCATATTAACTAATGCAATGTTGTCATTATTTAATATATTGATTGAATTTAACCAGAACTGTAATGCAGCATCAATAATGTGACTCAACTGTGCACCATACACAGAGAAATATTGAATTTAAAATATATATATAATATTTTTCTTATCAATTTCAGGAGGAAAATATTTGGGGTTGTCATTTATTGTGATGTAGTTAGAGACACATGTAGATGATATGTCGCACATTTAAATCAACATTTGGTACTGAGCACTCCTTAAATATACTATAAAATACTGTCAGCTTCATTACTAATGTAAACAATTTATTTGCAAATTTGACAGATCATTTGAAAATTCATGGACACAAACTGTAGCATTCACTGTGTACAGGCATCTCAAACAGGATAATCCATATATTCAATGTGTGGCTTTTTGTTGTAAATTAATCAGGTGATGTCCTTTTAAGTTGCCAGCACACAGTGGACCAACATTTCAGCCTTTCAGATAAGCTTTTTCAGTGGCAAATAGTCATGTAATTACTTACCTACAGTGAGTTGGAGATCTTGTGCCACACAGTTTCCCATAGTGCCCCGCGCATCCCTGTGACCTTAAACCTTAAGCAGGAAAGATGCCCCTTGACAAAAAAATAATGCAACTAAAAATATATATTCAATCCAAACTGCAACAAGATATAGAGGGAGAAAGATAATTTCCTCATCATGTAATGAATCAATCATTTAATCTTTTGTGACTTAAAATAACTTTTGATGACATCTAAACTTTAAAGTATGAACAGAAATGTAAAATACAGATAAAATAAGTTATTCTCTAATCTGAAAAATAATTCTACTTGTTTCCATTACTGAGTCTTCATCTATTGCAGAATACATTATATGACTGTGACTATACATGTTTGGATTGAATGCCAATCAAAAACCTGGCCTACCTGTTCAGGTGAAAATACTGAATATACAACATCCATGTCTAATGAGGCACTGGGCACCCACTGTCCCCTTCACCCACCTGTCTCCTCTTTTGGTATTTAAGATGCTGCTCATTAATGCTTCAGTGTCCTTTTGTCTTTTAATGGTGTCTTATGTGGCTTTTTTTTGGTATGATCTATACGTTTTGTAGTGAGTTTTTGGGCGTGTGGCGTATTAAAAAGGGGGAATGTTATCCACTGAGCAAAGTACTGAGTGCCATTTTATGATTGTACGGTGTCCCGATGAGCACTGAAAGCAGAAACTGTAGTAGAGGTTCACACTGTTTGCTAACATTCCTTCCATACTTGGTTAGCATTTAAACTCATTCATGTACAGTTATCTACTTTGTGTCGGTATTTGGTAGCTTCGTCAGGCGTTTCCCATGTAGCATCCCTCTGTGTGTGAGTGTGTGTGTTTGTGTGTGTGTTAGGGGGGCTACCTCAATCCGCACTGGAAGATGCCTCACTCGCGTTGTCCACCTTGACTTTGAGGTGCAGGGTAGCTGCTTAGTCATAATGTACCTCCATTGTACAACAAATGTACAGAAGATGAAGGAGTGATGTTAGACAGGAGGATGCAACCGAATTCATGCATGTACAACAAACTATACACTGTATCTCATCTTCAAATAGGTTAAGATTGTTAGGATATGTATGTATGTATGTAAATATGACCCCCCCTTTTTCAAAATTACGTAACTTAAAATGACAATATTCAGGTTGCTCTATGGTATGTATCGATAAATGTTTTGCACCCTGGACATCAAAAAAGAGAAAAACGAATACACACACTGTCTCTGCACTCCTGGATCCAGCTCTCCTGTTTGGGCTTTATCGGACACTCCTTCATCTGGATAGAGAGCCGGTGGATGCAGCACTCTGTGTGCGGGCCCACACAGTCTGTCCTGAGTACCACTGCTGAGTGTACATGTACTGTATGTGTGTGTGCGGTAGATGTGGGTGGCCTGTCAGGAAGCTTCGCCAGCCCTGGGACGTTTGGCGTCTGCCCCATGTACAGGTCTGAACTATGAGCACAAAAGGCATATTTTCGGGACAAGAGATACCGCTGACGTGCCCCTTTTCTGTGGTTGCTCCTGTACATTCCTATCTTCTGAATGTGTAAACCTGTACACGTGGTGTGAAAATTCCTCTATAAATGTGTATCAAGAGAATGGAACAAAGACAAAAAATGTTACTTTTTAAATTATTATTATCATTATTATTATTACTCTTATTATTGTCTAGCTTTGTAAAAACTGCTGATCCATCTGGCATACCTCAGCAGGCCTTTCCCCATCTTTGAAAACGGACAAATTAGCAACGGGGAAATGAGGTTTTGGATAAACTATTTTTAATTGTGGTTGAAGCAATAGACTTTTTGAACTTTGAATTGTGCATGGCTGTGTCTTGAGTGTAAAAAAACAAAATATTGCAGTTTGGGAACTGGACTGAAATAAAAAGAGGAAGAAAACCAGAGTTGTGGCAATGCTTGTAGGCTATTGTGATTATTAGGTTGAATTTCTTTTTATTCTTTATGCCATTCAGGGTTCTGCATTTTCTTAATAATCATGACAATAAAACATGGTGCTATGAACTGATGGAAAAGAGGAACATGAGATGCATTAAAAATTGATGAAACATGCATTTTGTGTTGTACATGTGGTAAGTTTTTCTGCATTAAAGAGACTATAGAGGTCAAGTAAGACTTTAATGACAAATTACTGCCATATCACACAGTAGTAGTAGTAGTAGTGTAACATAAAAAATATATATATCTTTACAAGCAACTTGTAAAACGTCAGTTTAAAGATATTTTAGTAAGTTACACAAAAAATATTTGAATTAAACATAATTCAAAAGTTTCATTATTTTGGCAAAAATAACATTGACATTCAGTCTGCCCAATAGTGCCCTGCTCACCTGTCAACTTTGCAAATAATTCAACAATGTGCAATCAATAGTGTAAAATTCTACTCAGTGTAATCATACACAAGCATCAACATCAGCAGTAGAAAACAGGTCGAATCACAACTGGCATTGCTTCTTTGATGATAATGGCATATGTCGAGTTTCACAAGATGTTCACCACATAGTTCAGCGCTGAGAAAGATCCCGCCTTCTGTTAGGTCACTGACAAGGTCACATGGCGGTCAGCTGGGTAGAAGTGATGATCCTCAGACTGATGCTGCCGGGCATCTCATCCGTTTGTCCTTGCTTCCTCAGCTTTAGCTTTTGAGGGTCAGTTGTGTCCTTCACCGACCCGGACAACACCACTTGGCCCATAAACTCATCCTTCACTGAGTTATTGTTCCACACCTGAGGAAGACAAGTCAGTTTGAAATATATGTAAGAATGCTACTGTCATACATTACAAAATGACCATAGTACATCTGCAGGGCTTTGGCAGAGAGCTGATGACTCTGATTTGATTATGACGTCATCAGGCAAAGATGATATCCTGTGCTCAATCACAGCCAGTTACAAGTGGCCATTACATCTGTCAGTTGATCACTAGTTGGATGTGAGCTTATATATATATATATATATATATATATTATGTATATATATATATATATATATATATATATATATATATATATATATATATATATACATATAGTACATATTATATAGAACATATTTAATCCAAAGAAACTGTTAAACTTTGAGGAACTGTGGTTCTATAATTAGTCTACAGTATCAAATTGTGTTTTTTATGAAAGAATTGCCACATCATTTAAACTACTACTGTTCATATATTAATATTCACCCACTAGTTCTGTTAAAGAGAGATTTGTTTGCTTTGCAAGGTAAAAACTGAAAAGGCACCATAAATTTAATATAAATCTGCTTTTATCAAGTATAGGGCAGCTTAGCAAGTTACTATATTTATAATTTACATTATAATTTTCAGTATTTTTTTATACATTGAAGGAGTATTTTCCTCAATAGGCTGTGAAAAAATGTCCTGCCTCAAAACCGTTTCAAAACACATTGGATTATTAACAAAAATGCATTTAGTTTAAACAAGGCTGAAAAGTCGACATGTTTTAGATATATGGTTACCGCAGGATAGAGAGCTACAACCCCTACACACCACCAGTCGCTGAGATTAATTGCAGTCATCAGGACCAGAGAGATGCCATCTTACCTCTACAGTTATGGGCTTTCTGGGATTCTTCCTGTAGAAAATGGCGCTAGTTCCAAACTCTGGTTGCAAAGTGTCCTTCTTGATGATGGATTTTACTGACTGGCCCTCACAGGAAATTATCACATAGGGGTCTGCACCTGCATGAAAACAAGTAAGGATCCATCTCAGCAAACCAAACTGGTGGACTACAGAGTGATTACACTGATTAGAATATTTGAGGTATAGCCTGGCTTGTGTAAAGTCCTATTACCTCCTGTACTGTCCTGGTTCTGCAGCCCTTCAGCTCGGTGCACATAGACATGAGTCAGAGCTTGTGGATATCCGAGGAATGAACTCCAGCATCTTACCCTTGGCTTATCCTCAATCAATTCCCTGTGAGAGTAGAGGAGAATTTAAGGACCAGGAGAGAAATAGAGTTCCTGTATCTTGGTACTTTGGCCTAGATGTTGATATAAGCAAATTGGTAGACCAGGGAAGTGACATTATGTTTCCTAGACACAACACTGGTTTAATGATCTGGCAAAACAGAATGTTTGGCCAGGAAAAGCAGTGGGAGAGGGGTGTTAGTGATTTAATGTGACATAATGTTATAGTCTCCCTTCTCCAAAACATTCATTTAAGTGTTTTCTTTGGATATTTTCCATTCATCGATTTCTGAAATGAAGTCAAAGAACAGCTGTGTTCCTGTTTTTTCTGCAGTGTCTCGCAAGACCTGAGAATTGTCAGATATGTGAACATTACATTTCTGTCTGACTGCATAAAACACAGCCATGCTGCTGATTTATACTCACTCAACTGCACACTGTCACTGGTTTGATGTCACACCTCCATCACAGTCATACCTGCAATGTGAGTCCACACTAGTGAAAACTCGGATCATGTAATCCCCCAGCGTCTGGGGTCTGAAGGTAGTCGGGATGATCACGTAGCGGCCCTGTAGGAGCTTGCATCTCATAAACACTGTCCGAGCATTGATGTAGGTGGACGTTGCCACACACTGTTGAGTCAGGATGTCATGCATCCGATACTTCCTGTTAAGTTCCACCTGGGAAAGGAAAAGCATTTGGGCTTCATTTGGTGACTTTACTCCTCAGGTATAAAGTCTAGCAGGTGATTTTAACAACAAGCGCATTTACATGTGCTCTAGTATCCTGGTTATGATTGGGTTTTTGCAGTATCCTGGTTATGTGTTTGTACATTTTGTCCCGGTTTTGAGAAACCTGCCATATGCTACCTGGGGTTGAGATGGTGAGAAATCAGGACACAGCTGCACACAGATGATTAAAAGCCTGGATACGGTTAGAGTAATGTAATCAGGGATATGAATAACCAGGTCTCTCATGTTTCATGTAAACATCAAATCCCAAATATGATCAGGATACTAGTGCGCATGTTAACGTACCCATTGTGGTTAGACAAGTTTAGGTTTGAAAGACAGTGTGTTACAATATTTCATGGGATGAAACAAAGGTTACCATTTTTTACCTTTATAAGCCATTTTATGGGTATTAACAGAATCTAGAGGAGAAAATATTTAGTGTTTGCTGCTTACACAGGTTCTTCTGCCTCCTGGTGGCAGAAGAAAAAGTGTGTGTGTGAAAGTACATAGTTATATAATTCTTGAACTGGTAAGATGAGTCAGTATAGCTGAAAGAAAAGAAAATCCTGTTCTACCTGCTCCAGGTTTATTATACTGCATATCATTCTTGTTTGAGTAGTTAACAGTCAGCCATAGTTAACATAATAATCATAATCCTCAAACTCCAGGATTCACTGAGTTGCTGGGATACCAGACGTCCACTGATACACATATTTTAATAGTGTGGAATTTGGTTGAAAGGGTCATAACTACCATACTGATCTACTTCTCAAAGTGCAGTGGATGACAACATAAAAAACAGAGACAGTTTATAGAGTGGGCAATGTCTGGAGTCCGTCAAATGAAGTAGGAGGATAGATCACTTGCATGATGACCATACATGACAAGGGTTAAATTCAGGTTCAGGCTCACACAGTTCAACAGGCTGTGTGCACACAGCTGCTTTTTTAATCACAAGCTCTTTGTGGCACCAGTGTTTATTGCTGTCCAGAACCTTCCGCTTTGGCTGCACTCCTATCAGCATGATAAGGGTGTATAGTGTGCGCGCTTGAACCTGGCTTGATCTAATTTGACAAGTCTGACAGCTGCTTGAAAGGACTTTGTTGAGACCTTAACTGAAACACAGTACTGAGTTGCACTGATCTGTCGTTCTAAATGTAGCAGTTCTACACATAATCATCTCCAATGTAAAACATTATATTTAAAAAAAAAGAAATCCCATCTTTTTTGTGAGGTTGTGGTCTCACATATGTTCAGTATATAATAACATAGAACACATATACTTTTATGGGTTTGTTTTACCTCCAGAAACCACCAAATGAACCAAATGAACCCGTAATGCATGAGATGTCTATCATGGCTGTGAAGGAGCTGCATTCTCTCTTTGCACCTTACTGGGAGTTTTAAAGAAATGTGTTTGGTCCCATTTTGTTTTCCAGCTTGAAACAATCAACTAAATAATGTGCATTTTTTTCCATTTAATCATGTAGCCTACGATTCAGCCTCTTGTTTTAGATCTGATAAACCGATCAAGTAATGTCTGCCTGTCATTTGAAACACCCAACAACTGTTCACTGTTTGCTCAAAAAATGAGTAGAAAAGTCAAACGAAGCCAAATTCTTTGAACAAAATGAAAGCCAAAATGTGTTGAAAGGACCTTGTTTTCCCCCAAAACAAACTGACCTCTGACTGACGTCTTGTTCCAGACGAGCACCATTTCCTCTGTAATAACTCATCTCTAGTCAGCCTCACCACGATCTTTGTAAAATGTTTCAGATACCCTTCAAATCTTTTCCTGATTCCCCTGGTTTATAATTCTTTTGGCTCTTATCGTGCAATACGCAGTTACAGATCAAATATCAACCTTTCATTAGATCAATAAAGTATGGTGGTTCACCTTGAAGACACCGAAGCCAATGCTTAGATTTTCTCCTTGACCTTCTTTTCTGTGGATTTTCAAGTCTTTCTGTTGCAAGGAGATTAGGACCTCATCGACTTCCTTTGTAATATCGAACAAGTACTGTAAAAGAAATTGAAAAGGAGTGATACATGTGTATAAATGTGCATGCACACAGGTGGTGTGAGGTCCACCCTGACCCTGCAGTACCTGTGGGTTCTGCAGGAATGTCGTCTTGTGGTTAGCACAGCCACCGCAGCGGTTTAACAGCGGCTCTGCATGTTTGGTCCAGCTCCCAAAGTACACAAACTCATGCCATCTCTTCTGGA